CTAAAACAGGTTTAAAACAGGTCTAAAACCAGGCCTAAACCAGGACTAAACCAGGACTAAACCAGGATTAAACCAGGACTAAAACCAGGTCTAAACCAGGACTAAAACAGGACTACAACAGGTCTAAATTAGGTCTAAACCAGGTCTAAACCAGGTCTAAAACAGGTCTAAACCAGGTCTAAAACAGGTCTAAAACAGGTCTAAAACAGGTCTAAAACAGGACTAAAACAGGACTAAATCCTGCTGTGTGGACGTATCTCCTCGTCTTCTATCAATAATATTTTTAATTTGGTTCAGTAAATTCTGGGCTTTTTATTTTCTTTTATCAGACAAAACATCTTATGTGAAGATTTCCTCGTCTTTGTTTCTCTACACCAAATCAAGTAATCCAAAGTATTCAGATTACGTTACTCACTTTAAGTAATTCAATGGATTACGTTACAAACTACATTTTGGGGTGTGTAATCTGTAATCTGTAAGGGATTACATTTTAAAAGTCACCTTCCCAACACTGAATATAACTGAGCACTTCCTGTATGACCACACGACATCATCAGGTGGAGGGTTTTCGGATTGAGAGAAAATATGGAAGATAATTTGTTCCATCACATTTTGAATTTTAAATACAACTGAATTTCTCCCTTTGAATTTTTTAACTCTGAAAAAAAGATGTTTGAATTATTTTTATTCTGAATTTTAGTGGCTGAAATTTGAAGTTTACTTTCAATTCAAAATAAACAAAACAAAAAAAATCAGCAGAGATATTTTCAAGCCGTCCAATTCACCGGTCGAAATTCGGATCGTAAAATTCGCAGCGAAAAATTTCACAGCAAAAATCCAAGATGCCGAGGCAGAAGCAGTCGATCACGTGAGCGAGGAGGACAGAGGCTGTTTCCTATTGGCTGTTCTCGTCTGTGGGCGGGGTTTACACTTAAGAAATCAAAAAGATGAGGTTTCGATGAGGCAAATTTTGACCAATCAGATCGCGTCACCAACATCTCCTGTTTCTTACTAAGTTAGATCGGATCACTTTGGATCGATTGCTTCTGCCTTGGCATCTTCGGATCTTTACTGTAAATTTTCTTCACTTACACTCTGAATTTTGACTGTTGAATTTGTAGGCTTGAAAATATTTGTGCTGAATATTTAAAAGGTGATTTTTTTTTTTATATATTGAATTTTATACACTGAAAATGTACACTTAAATTTCAGCAAACAAAAATTCATAATAAAAATAATCCAAACATGTTTCTTCAGAGTAAAAAAAAAAATTCAAAGTGACAAATTCAACAGCATTTAAATTTCAAAATCTGATGGAACAAATTATTTTCCATAAGAAGAAATGAATGAAATTGTGTGAATGAAACAAAACACAACTCCAGGTTTGTGGTGAGGACATTCCAACACAGAAAACAGCATAACATGGGCTCTTCAACAACCCTGCAGTAAACAGTGAGAGATGATAATGATGTTAGGTCAGTACAGCCTCTTTCCTGAGTTTTTTTTTTTTTTTTTTTTTATAAATATAAACACCATGAAATAATAAAGCAATCTTAACAGACAATTTCAACAACACTGTAGCACCAAAAACTCTTTACAGCATTTGAACAGTACCAGGACGAAGGTGCAAAGCCTTCATAGTTTCACCACTCCTGTAACTCTGCATTACAAAGACAAACCGCGTGTTACCACTGCAAATAACAGGAAGCACATGATAATGGTTTTTGCATATGGAGCTTTCGTTATCAACTGTAAAAATGTCTTTTGATACTATCTGATGCGAAGAATAAGGGTTGACAACAGTCTGATAGCACAATGAGGGGAAAAAAAGAACACTTTATTTTAAAGTGCGAAGAATCCCTCAGTCATCCAGGTAGAATCCATGGCGAGGAGAAAAATCAGTTTGTTGACTGGACAATAGTTAGAATAGTTTGGCTCATCCAAGTTGCTTCTTCAGTTCATAACAGAGCAGAACTGAAGAAGCAGCTTGGATGAGCCAAACTATTCAATCAAACTAACTTTTGTCCAGTCGACAAACGGATTTTTTTTCTCCTTGCCACTTTATTTTAGACATCAGACTACAAGTGTAACTTTTAACACCAAATAACAGTACTTAGTCTATTATTATGGTGCAGTTTTTGGTCTATGTTGTGGATTCAGATGCAAAATTTTTACGTCTATTTTTTATTTTTTTTTGGGTAACACTTTATAATAACTACACCTTATTTAGACTCAATAAAGCATGAACAAAGACTTAATTAATAATGATTCACGCTTAGTAACTACTTAATTACTACCTGAATTAGCACTTAACTTGCACTTAATTCGCCTGTGCTGTAAATAGTTACTCGTAAGTATTTCTTACTTAATTACTCATGAACTAACCATTAGCGTGTGCATTTGTAAATGTATATTTAAGTACAAATTTGAGCATTTATTAATGATTAATAAGCCATGAGAGAAGGATTTACTAGTAATGCATTATTGTTTCTCTGGTATTTGACCAAACCTTAACAAATGCTTAATAAAACATAATTAGTCACTTTAGAAAAACTCTCAGAAAGACTTAACTAACAGATAACAGCTGCCTGAATGATCATTGTATTGCATTATTAGTAAATCATTCTCTCATCACTTACTAATCATTAATAAATGCTCAAATTTGTACTTAAATATACATTTGTAAACATGCAAATGGTTCAGTTCATGAGTAATTAAGAAATATTGAGTAACTATTTACAGCACAGGCTAATTCAGGTAGTAATTAAGTAGTTACTAAGCATGAATCATTATTAATTAAGTCTTTGTTCATGCTTTATTAAGGTTAAATAAGGTGTAGTTATTATAAAGTGTTACTTTTTTTTTTCTAGAAATTAACCCACTAGCCATGTTCCAAATAGGAAGTGAGCACGGACGCTTTTCTGGCTTCATTGACTCCTCTTTCTGAATCGGCTCTTTGGTTGCTCTTTGGCTCCGAATTCGCATCTATAACTGCATGCCTCAATGAGCTTCATTTGACTAGAGCCGAACGACGTGGGTGATGACCCTTAACGCTCAATTCGGATTTTTTTTGTGAAATCAAATTTTTTTGCGAGGTCGTTCACATTTCCTATTAAATGCGACTTGCATGTGATCTCCAGTGTGAACTTTAAACGCCTCAGAAGTGTCCCGCATGAGCACTGGAGACACGAAGCTGCTGTCGTACCAGAGGAGGAACATGCACAGCTGCAGTCTGAACGTAGCTTTATTCAACTTTTTTATACATTCTGTGGTAACTAGCTAATAGTTTTAGTATTGATCATTTTCTGTTACTCATCCATTTAACAACCTTCATTGAGGGGCCTACTACACATAACGATTACACAAGTGTATTTAGTTATTTACAGCTACTCGGCCCATTCAAGTTGCCCAACATACATTAGTATAATTATATTTCTGTTTAGCCTCAATCTTGAATCTATAGTTGAGCTTTATTGGGCAAGTCACGGCTTTGTGTGGTCAGCTTATATCTGATGCTTAAAAGTGCACTGAACAACTTGGAATGGGGAATTTTAACTTAAAGCCCCACTGTGTAACATTCCTGGTAATGGGCACAGCTCGCAATACCACGTGCAACATCATAACCCACAGAGAGAGAAAGTAAAAGCCGTACGCAGTGTTGGGGAGTAACAGATTACATGTACCGGAGTTACGTAATCAGAGTACAAATGATGAGTAACTGTATTCAGTTACAGTTACTGTTTCAGTGAGTGGTAATTGGATTACAGTTACTTTGTTGAAATAAATGGATTACACAGCGGTATGTTCCTGTTTTGGACTATATCCCCCTTTTTTTCTTTTTTTTTTTCTTTTCGTAATTCCACTCATTTCCGGAAACTATACCAGGACTAAACCAGGTCTAAACCAGGTCTAAACCAGCACTAAACCAGGTCTAAACCAGGTCTAAACCAGCACTAAACCAGGTCTAAACCAGGACTAAACCAGGTCTAAACCAGGTCTAAACCAAAACCAGGTCTAAACCAGGTCTAAAACCAGGACTAAACCAGGACTAAACCAGGTCTAAACCAGTCTAAAAACAGGTCTAAACCAGGTCTAAAACCAGGTTTAAACCAGGACTAAACCAGGTCTAAACCAGGTCTAAACCAGGTCTAAAACCAGGTTTAAAACCAGGTCTAAAACCAGGTCTAAACCAGGTCTAAAACCAGGTCTAAACTAGGTCTAAAACCAGGTCTAAAACCAGGTCTAAACCAGGACTAAACCAGGTCTAAACCAGCACTAAACCAGGTCTAAACCAGGTCTAAACCAGCACTAAACCAGGTCTAAACCAGGACTAAACCAGGACTAAACCAGGTCTAAACCAGATCTAAAACCAGGTCTAAACCAGGTCTAAAACCAGGTTTAAACCAGGACTAAACCAGGTCTAAACCAGGTCTAAACCAGGTCTAAAACCAGGTTTAAACCAGGACTAAACCAGGTCTAAACCAGGTCTAAACCAGGTCTAAACCAGGACTAAACCAGGTCTAAACCAGGTCTAAACTAGGTCTAAATCAGGACTAATCCAGGACTAAACCAGGTCTAAAACCAGGTCTAAAACCAGGTTTAAACCAGGACTAAACCAGGTCTAAACCAGGTCTAAACTAGGTCTAAACTAGGTCTAAATCAGGACTAATCCAGGACTAATCCAGGACTAAACCAGGTCTAAAACCAGGTCTAAAACAGGACTAAACCAGGACTAAACCAGGTCTAAAACCAGGTCTAAACCAGGTCTAAAACCAGGTCTAAACCAGGTCTAAACCAGGTCTAAAACCAGGTCTAAACCAGGTCTAAAACCAGGTCTAAACTAGGTCTAAAACCAGGTCTAAAACCAGGTCTAAACCAGGACTAAACCAGGTCTAAAACCAGATCTAAACCAGAACTCAAACAGGATTTAACAGGACTAAATCCTGCTGTGTGGACATGTCTCCTCGTTTTCTATCAATAATATTTCTAATACGGTTCAGTAAAGACTCTGCTTTTTTATTTTCTTTTAGCAGATAAAACATCTTATGTGAAGATTTCCTCGTCTTTGCTTCTCTACAGCAAATCAAGTAATCCAAAGTATTCAGATTACATTACTCACTTTAAGTAATTTAATGGATTCCGTTACAAACTACATTTTGGTGTGTGTAATCTGTAATCTGTAGGGGATTACATTTTAAAAGTCACCTTCCCAACACTGGCCGTACGTCGGAACATTTTCCACTGAAGATGCAAAACGATAACATCTCCATGGAAACAAGCAGGAGATGTGCCAAAGTACGAGTCAGGTCCATGGAGACGTAAGCTCGCTCGCAGTAACAATACGAGGTCTTTTCGCAAACCCCTTAATAAAATACCTTGTGTTATAATGCTTTCTGGTTTTGACTGAAATGTTACACAGTGGGGCTTTAATGTACAGAGCCAATATTGTGCATGTCTAATGTTTTAGCCTTAATAGAGCCTAATTAAAATATGACAGGGAATATTGAACATAGTAGAAAATAATAGAAAAATAGAAAACTCAAAACATCCATTTCAGACGTGTCCTGCCGTCCTTTTCAAATATTTTCCAGTTTATAATGCAAACTACATTCAATCACCTTTCAAAACTACTTGGGTTAGTGTCTTGCTACGGACACAACAGCAGTAAGTGGAGCTAATGGCTTTTAGTTAGTGAGCGAAAGTCTCACTCCGCTCAGCGACTGCATCTCGTGTGCAGTCCATTAAAGAGTCTGTTGCGTTTGGAATGGCCTCCGCTCCGGTGGAGAGCTGCTCCCGTCCTACAGGGTGAACAGGGTCAGGGGGGGTGTAGTGCTCCACAGCTCTGCGGGGGGCGACAGTGAGGGCGTCAGGGAGGTGTACAGAGAATCGATGTCCCCTCCTGTAAAACAACACGCGTTAACGTTGAGCGGCGTTAAAGGTTGTATGGAGGATTTTTTTTTTGTTTCAAATTGTCAGTGATAGATTACAGATGCAGTCACCTTGTAATTATGATGACCAAAAAAAAGAGAATAAAAATTCATCAACTCTGGACGTGGTGGGGCTAAACATTTGCCAATAGATAACGACACTGCCTCGTTATCTGTGAGCTGACAGGCTGTCAATCAAACTCCCTACGTTTCTAGTGTAACTGACTTGCCTGCGCCTGCCGTTACGTGGTTTACGTACGACTGTCACACAGTCCACAGACGCAAGACGCACAGACGCTGTTTACTCCACCAACGCAACAGTTCTTAGCGGCTTTTTTTGACCTATATCTTCCTCGCAGTTCGCACAAAGTTTGTTGCGATGGCGACAAGAATCCAGGAGCAGTTCGCCGCAAAAGAAAGTCCGTTTTTGAGGTCGCTGAAAGAAGAAGACAAGGGGAAAAGCAGCGAAGCCAAACTAAGGTGATTCTTGGAGATTCATTCCAGCGATGGCGCGACTGAAGCAGACGAAGGGTCTAAAGACTGACGCACTGGTCCACAAATTACTCCTGGACAGGAAACTTCTGCTTATTATGAAAACGTACTTTATTTCCAAGAGCGAGACAAACGTTTTTCAGGACACGAAAGCGATATCCTATGTCTGAAAACGTAATTTTCAAGGCAAAGAAAGAGTCCACTTGCTGCTGCGTGTTGTAGCTAGTTCATTCGCACTGAATCTCCGCGCACTCTTCTCTGCTCCCCTTTCCTGCTGCTCCTGTCCCCGCTCCTCACTTCTCCGTCTTGTCTAACCAACACTGTAGTTAGTTGTTTACAAGTCATGTGCAGCGGCTGTAAACAAACCTGTTTCTGGCGTAAGGAGGAGGAGGGAGGAGGCGTTTCTACGTAGGAGCTGTAGGGGAGGGGGGGTGGTTTCACGCATCCACAACATTTGAAAAAGGACAAACAGTCGCTGGATTTCTCGTTCCTTGGAAAATCCTCTATACAACCTTTAAGTTTCGATACAGTAAATTCAGCTGGTGTCGCCTAAAACAGGTCACGACACAGGAGACAGATATTTTGTGTCCAATATAAACACTCACACACATTCATAAATAACGGTTAGGCATGGGAAGTGTCTAGCCTAAGGGTACAACAACGGTGCACTGGTCAGAGCTGGGACTGAAGACCCTACCATTCGCTTCTTTCCTTGTGAAATGAAAAAACGGATCACGATTTGGTTTGTTTGTTTGTTTTTTCAGTTTTTGATTTTGTGATTTCGTGAAATTAACAATGGAAGAAACAGATAGTTTCTGTGACTTAAACTGCGATGCCGGACTTTTGCGCCATATACGAACTGAACCAGGACTGAACCAGGACTGAACCAGGACTAAAACAGGACTAAACCAGGACTAAAACAGGACTAAAACCAGGACTAAAACCAGGACTAAACCAGGACTAAAACAGGACTAAACCAGGACTAAACCAGGACTCAGGACTAAACCAGGACTAAACCAGGACTAAACCAGGACTAAACCAGGACTAAACCAGGACTAAACCAGGACTAAACCAGGACTAAACCAGGACTAAACCAGGACTAAACCAGGACTAAACCAGGACTAAACCAGGACTAAATCAGGACTAAAACAGGACTAAATCAGGACTAAAACAGGACTAAATCAGGACTAAAACAGGACTAAAACAGGACTGAAATAGGACTAAAACCAGGACTAAATCAGGACTAAATCCGGACTAAACTAGGTCTACACCAGGTTTAAACCAGGACTGAACCAGAACTGAATGTTGGGACGGGTCTGGAGGTGCGCCTGCTTAGACTGTCGGCTGATCAAGACTGAGGCCAGAACCAGACTGGGACTGAGACCAGGACCAGACCAGGACCGAGACCGGGATGGACACCAGGACTGAGACCAGGACCAGACCGGGACTGAGACTGAGACTGTTTTAGTCCTGGTTCAGTCCGTATGCGGCACAAAAGTTCGGCATCACAGTTTAAGTCACCGAAACGGGAAACGGCTGTCATCTGTTTTTTTTCCATTATTCATTCAAAAATGTAAAAATGAAAAAACACATCATTAATTGTTTTTTTTTTTTTGGTTTTTTTAATTTTGGTTTTTGAGACAAATAATGAAGAAAATAGTTTTTTTTTTTCGTTTTCTTACTTTTGGTTTTATGAATGAACGGATGCTACACAGACCCAGTGTATCTGCAGTAGTTCTGGTGCAGTATGTTTGATTTGAGTTGATGCTTTTGTGTTTTCAGATGTTACCTGAGGACTCCTCGCTCCACTGGCTGCCTGGGCTGGTGCGCGGCTCATTCACACTGAAGCCCATCTTCAGAGGGTCTCTCTCCAGAGGCACAGGCTGACTGATCTGGAAAAACAGCACTGGCACATAAGTCCTGGTCTCAGGTCTCTGCTCTGGCTCCTGTGGCTCAGAGACTTTAAAGCGTCTCTGTTTGTACAAGTGTCTCCACATGTCCGAGCACCAAAGTCCATCTGTGACATGTTAGTGTCATATGAACATCTCACACTCTGAGGAGCTCAGGGACCGAACTCCTGCTGGTGCCCAGAGTCACGACTAAACAAGGGGAGTCAGAGTTTCAGGTTCATGCAGCTAAAACCTGGAACAGTCTGAACATGTGAGACAGACTCTTCTGTGACGCTGTTTAAATCCAGACTCAAAACATTTCTGTTTAACTGTGCAAATAACTGAAAGGTTTTCATTCCGCACTCTTCTCTCCAATTTATGTCTCTCTTTTTTAATTTTAATCTTCATGATTATTTATGTTTTGATTAGTTTTTATTATGATTTTAATGTATTTCTTATTCTGTAAAAGCACTTTGAATTACTTTGTGTACGAATTGTGCTGTACAAATAAACTTGCCTTGCCACTGCACTGAGAACGCTTCCATTTCACTGTCCCTTGACCACAGCACAACACACACCACACCACGTCTCCATGAAGCCGCCCCCATCAAACACACACCGCAAAAATAAAACATCAATCAAAAGCAAGTCACTAACACACTGATAAACACTTTTCCACAGCCTCAGGTCGTTTCTCTTCATTAGTTTTGCTATTTTACTGAGCGGAAATCACATCATATAATTGCTGGAAAAATAATAGATAATGAGGGCCTGTTTACATGAGAACGCTTCCGGGTAAAAACGACAAAATATTTAATAGGAAGTGCCTTTTGTTTAGACAAGGGGTGGGCAAACTTTTTGACTCGTGGGCCACAAAGGGTTCTAAAATTTGGACTGAAGGGCCGGACCAGGAGCAGATTAATGGAGTTTTTGGGTAATCCACCTCATAACATAAAAAATTACATGTTATAATATTACTGTACATTATTGAAATATCTCAGAATTGAAAATCATTACAAAGCATTACAACAAAATATCTGTCTTTCAAGTCCAACGGTATTTACTATTTATTGAAATGACTTAAAACACTGAAAATCATTATTATTATTATTCAAGTTCAGTGGGCCAGATTAAAAAGATTAAAGGGCCGCATATGGCCCCCGGGCCGTTGTTTGCCCACCCCTGGTTTAGACAGTGACGGTGTTTTTGGGGCTTCATTAAACGTAGCCTAATTTTAGAAATGTACTTGCACAAATGAAAATTGTCACGGCACAAAGCAGCACAAACCAAATACAGATGTTTCATATCATTTTCTGCCTGCTTTGAGGCTGTGTAATATTTTGAGGGGCTGGATGATGTCATTGGCCGATAATAAAACTGCTAATATCTTGAGAACTATAATCGAACAAAACAAAACTTTTTGGAGCAGAAGCGAAACACAAACGACTGATTCCATTTTGTGTCGTTTTAGAGCATTTTGAAGCTTCCTGGAGGCTGCTGACCCCAGTTTGACCTATAAAAGAATCATTATTATCTCCAAAACTAAAGCAGCACAAATGATAGAGACGGTTTTTGTGTTTTGTGTGTTTGATGGGGAGTCAACTTCATGCAGGTTCATCCCCACCACCTCCACGTCACCACCAAACCAACAAACTGTTCCTTCTGTTTTGCATCAGCAGTGAACATTTTAAAACGCTGAATTCTCAACTGATAAAACGAATCCAAGAATTTCATCCATTTCAGAACATGTCTGAAAGAAATCTAAACTCACAGGTGTGTAGTACTCAGTTACATTTATTCTGTTATATTTAACTTTTTTCAAGAAATTGTACTTTTCAGAGTGCAAATCAACATACTTTAGCTTACTTGAAGTCTACAACTGATAGTTACTCTTTAAGATACTCTTACTTGAACAGTAAATTACCAAATACTTAATCTTACTTGAGCAATTCATATTATTTTAAAGTAATGTTACTTGAGTAAATGTGTTCTCATATAAATGACAGTAGGACAGAGCTCTGGGACTTACCGTGACTATAATGTCGTTGAAGTCGTAGTACGAGGAGTCTGCAGAAAACATGTACACAGAGAACAGCATTAGTTTGGTCCAAAAATACTTTTAAACAACCGGACTGCAGTATTGATACAAGTAATTGTTTAACAAGAACTATACTGTACTATTACTTAAAAAAATATATATGATAACAATTAGGCCAAACACAGACAAACTAACTTTGGATTATGGATTAAAAATGCAGTTAACATGCACGTTCTCAAAAGAAAAGAAAAGCAACTGAATTCACTTGGCCAAGTTACAGTCCAGATCTGTGGAGAGGCAGCTCTGCTCACACTATGTTTTTAGGGTCGTTTTGGTTGAACTTCAGGGTCATATACAGTGAACATTTCAGACAAAGCAATAACATCTTCATGAAGTCAAGCAGGTGACAGACTCCCACTCAAAAAGTGACACACCTTTATATTAGTAGAAAAGCGTTTGACTGAAGTATTACTGTACCTGGGCTGTGTGCAGGAGACACCTCTAATTTATATGTCCCAACTTCAACCATGAAAGACACATCAGGGACCTCCGACTCGTCCATCATTTTCAAATCTGTTCAAACCACAACAGAAGTCAGTTAACACGGTCACGATTCAACATGGCAGAGACTCAGGCAGAGACTTCACACTGCAGCCTGAAGTGACCCGAATCTGATTTTATGGCCCCTATGTTCCTGTATCTGATCTTTTAATGAACGACACAGATCCGATTTTTTCAAATGTGACCCAGACCACTTGGATATGTGCTCCTAAAACTGATACATATCTGATCTTTTGACATGTGACTTCAGTCTGAACGGCCAAGGTGCATTGATCCACCTACACGTTATCACACAATGGACTTGGCTTTGCCAGAGAGGTCGGCTATTGTGCAGTAACAAGCACCTATTGCAAGCCAATACAGCCCAACGCCGACGCGGAAATAGACCATTTCCTCCCGCGAGAGTGGCACAAGTAGGCGCTCACAAATGTACACAAACGTTCTTCTCGTCATACGAAAATTGTTAATGAACTCCATGTCACTGAAGCGAAGAACATCACTATCCCACCACTCTTGGCTCCGTCTCCACATCCACACGTTCCTTTCAACAGACGTCACTGCCGCTGTCCCACAAAACACCACGACCAAAAAACCTCGTCCTTCTCCTTCTCAATCTCCTCCTTAAAACAAGTAAGTTGTTCATGTTCTGGCTCCGGTACGAGAGGAACTTTAAAATCTCCAGGTGCTCGATGCTGCGTCCATGTTTGGACAACTTCTGTAAACACAGAGACGCTCGCTGCGGTTGACGTCGTCGTGTCTCCAGTGTCACATGTGGGACACTTTTGGACCGTTTAATGTTCACACTGGAGTCACATACAAGTCGCATTTAATTGGAAATGTGAACGACCTCGCAAAAAGATCGGATTTCACCAAAAAAAATCTGAATTGAGTGTTAAGCCCTGCAGTCTGAACGTAGACTAAGTTCTTTAGGAGACAGACGACTTCTCCGTATGATGCTATTTTCTGATCCGTCCTAATGTAGTTTCCTCATCACCAACAGACATGGAGTTGTGTTTTGCAACTCCTTTGTTCGGGTAAAAATAGTCTAACGCGCTACTACTGAAAATTTGGTAATGAAGCGTAGTTCCTTTTTTAGTTTGGCACAACCTAACTTTTCTGTGTGTGGCGAGGTCCTGGTGGGAGGAGCTGTGAAGTGCGACTCGAGCCTTTCATGGCCGACGCAGACACGACGACGCACCACCTCAGAGGAAACAGAGGACCCCACCCATTAATGAGTAAAAACAAGTAACCTAAAAAAAAATTGTTTCCACAGAGGGTAACTCAGTAAACTAAGAGATTACTTTTTAAATAAGTAACAAGCAAACATTATTTTTTTTAAAGTAACTTTCCCAACATGGAACAGAGCGTTTTGAGTTTTGGAGTGTGAACATGTGAATGAAACAAAACACAAAACTCCGGGTACGTTTGTGGCGAGGTACCAGCATTATAACATGACTTAAAGCTACAAGAGTCAATTTTGCGTGACATGGGACTTGTACAATGTGTCTTGCCCCAGTGCAGAAATATTGAGTAAGAAGCTCTTGAGGTCAAAATAATCCCGCTGTGTACCATCTGCGTCTAATTATAAAGCAAATTATTTTCCAAAAAGCAGGATTTGTTGTTAGTTTTATTGTAAACACTCCGCTCTGGTCTCTGAAAGTTGTGAAACCCACTTATAAACTCATCACTTTGGACCAACTGCAAACTGTTTCAGATGAACGAGCTCTGTTTGTAAGACTGGAAAATGAACATGTAAAGTAAAGTAAAGTAGTAAAGTAAAGTAGTAGAGTAAAGTAAAGTAAAGTAAAGTAAAGTAAAGTAAAGTAAAGTAGTAAAGTAAAAGTAAAGTAAAGTAAAGTAAAAGTAAGTAGTAAAGTAGTAAAGTAAAGTAGTAAAGTAAAGTAGTAAGTCAAGTCAAGTAGTAAAGTAAAGTAAAGTAAAGTAGTAAAGTAAGTAGTAAAGTAAAGTAGTAAAGTAAAGTCAAGTCAAAAGTAGTAAAGTAAAGTAGTAAGTAGTAAAGTCAAGTCAAGTAGTAAAGTAGTAAAAGTCAAAGTCAAGTAGTAAAGTAAAGTAAAGTAGTAAAGTCAAGTAGTAAAGTCAAGTCAAGTAAAGTAAAGTAGTAAAGTAAAGTAAAGTAGTAAAGTAAAGTAAAGTAGTAAGTAAAGTCAAGTAAAGTAAAGTAAAGTAAAGTAAAGTAGTAAAGTCAAGTAAAGTAAAGTAAAGTAAAGTAAAGTAAAGTAAAGTAAAGTAAAGTAAAGTAAAGTAAAGTAAAGTAAAGTCAAAAGTAAAGTAAAGTAAAGTAAGTAAAGTAAAGTAAAGTAAAAAGTAAAGTAAAGTAAAGTAAAGTAAAGTAAAGTAAAGTAAAAGTAAAGTAAAGTAAAGTAAAGTAAAGTAAAGTAAAGTAAAGTAAAGTAAAGTAAAGTAAAGTAAAGTAAAGTAAAGTAAAGTAAAGTAAAGTAAGTAAAGTAAAGTAAAGTAAAGTAAAGTAAAGTAAAGTAAAGTGAAGTATCCTGACCGTGGTGCGGGTGGTGCACAGTGCTGTGCACTGTGCTGTGCACTGTGTTCTCCTGCGTGGGGGCACTGTCTCCATAACTGGGCTCATAGTCTGGGTCGGCTTCCTCCTTTTTGATCTGAATAAAAGAAAAGGAGAACAGGGTGAGAAAAGTCCAGTCCACAGTTAAAACTCTCGTCAAAAACTCAAAAATCACAATTTGAATGGACGCAGTTAGCGAATCACAAAGGCTCTTCAAAACTGTGAACCCTGTAGTTTAGATCTGTTCTGAAATGTGATTCTTGCGCACGTTTGTCTGTTCAGATTTCAGTCTCTTTGTCAAATCGTCTGGACGAGTTCATGATGTGAACTTTCATTTGATAAACATTTTCTTACAGACGATAATGAACATGTGTTGTGCCATAAATTAATAACATCTGCGTGATAGTTTAAACTGAATTATTTTGGCCATGTTTGTGTCCTGATTTATTCCTGGTTTAGACCTGGTTTAGACTTTGTTTAGACCTGGTTTAGTCTTGGTTTAGTCCTGGTTTGGTTTAGACTTGGTTTAATCCTGGTTTAGACTTGGTTTAGTCCTGGTTTAGACCTGGTTTAGTTCTGGTTTACCTGGTTTAGTCCCAATTTAGACCTGGTTTAGTCCTGGTTTAGTCCTGATTTAGTCCTGGTTTAGTCCTGGTTTAGTCCTGGTTTAGACCTGGTTTAGTCCCAATTTAGACCTGGTTTAGTCCTGGTTTAGTCTTGGTTTAGTCCTGGTTTAGTCCTGGTTTAGTCCTGGTTTAGTCCTGGTTTAGACCTGGTTTAGTCCCAATTTAGACCTGGTTTAATCCTGATTTAGTCCTGGTTTAGTTTTGGTTTAGTCCTGGTTTAGTCCTGGTTTGGTTTAGTCTTGGTTTAGTCCTGGTTTAGACTTGGTTTAGTCCTGGTTTAGACCTGGTTTAGTCCTGGTTTGGTTTAGTCTTGGTTTAGTCCTGGTTTAAAACTTGCTTTAGACTTGGTTTAATCCTGGTTTAGACTTGGTTTAGTCCTGGTTTAGACCTGGTTTAGTTCTGGTTTAGTCCCAATTTAGACCTGGTTTAGTCCTGGTTTAGTCCTGATTTAGTCCTGGTTTAGTCCTGATTTAGACCTGGTTTAGACCTGGTTTAGTCCCAATTTAGACCTGGTTTAGTCCTGGTTTAGACCTGGTTTAGTCCCAATTTAGACCTGGTTTAGTCCTGGTTTAGTCTTGGTTTAGTCCTGGTTTAGTCCTGGTTTAGACCTGGTTTAGTCCCAATTTAGACCTGGTTTAATCCTGATTTAGTCCTGGTTTAGTTTTGGTTTAGTCCTGGTTTAGTCCTGGTTTGGTTTAGTCCTGGTTTAGTCCCTGGTTTGTTTACTGGTTTAGTCCTGGTTTAGTCCTGGTTTAGTCCTGGTTCCTGGTTTAGACTGGTTTAATCCTTGGTTTAGTCCTGGTTTAGTCCTGGTTTGATTTAGACTTGGTTTAGACCTGGTTTAGTCCTGGTTTAGTCTGGTTTAGTCCTGGTTTGGTTTAGACTTGGTTTAATCCTGATTTAGACTCGGT